GGGATGTAGAATAGAAGGACAAAACCTGAACCTTCATGGGTTGACCATGGTCACTCTGGTTCACTGTCTAGACTCCTTCCTCACTCTAATAAATTGCTGGGTTACTGGTAGATAGACGATAATGAAACAAGTGAGATATTATACAAACAACATGACGTGGTCAGAAGCCAAAACATGTTACCGGAGCATTTTATTTAAACGTCTTGTTCTCTGACCACTTGTATTGTTTGTATTGTTGAATGTGTGTGGTGTATTAGGAAAAACCCACATTAGCGCTGTAGCTGCTGGTTTATTCTCCATTGTAAAGTGCCAGGAGATGAGTAATTTTTATAAATGAAAGTGAGATATTATTGTTACAAAGTCCCCTCTGTCTGCTACTATCTTGTTACTTTGTTGTTTAATTTCACAAAAGAACTGTCTCGGGTCATTCGTATGTATGAATGATCGACCACCTGGCCCTGGCGTGTGCCGCTAATTAACCTTGTTCACCTCTACAATACCGAACAAACTATCAAACGACCGACCACCCTACCTGAGGAATGTGCCCCTGATTAACCACCCAGGAGTTCTGGTTTTGTGGTTAACTGCAGCCTAATTGGCAGTCGACGGGGTGGTCGCCGTTCGTGTGAGACTGTCGAACTAAATACCAAACTAAATACCGAATAAACTATTGAATGACTGACCACCCTACCTGAGGAGTGTGCCCCTGCTTAACTACCCAGGGGCTACGGTTTTGTGGTTAACCACAGCCTAATTGACCGTCGACAGGGTGATCGCCGTTCGTATTCACGAACACATGGCGGCGGCCATTTTTAACTACCGAATGCACAGCGGAACTTAGTCGTCAAATGCCTGGTACTCTTTTCGGATACTATTTCATATGAACCCCGCTGGGATTTATCATGCCCCGTCCATTCGTGTATAAAATACCAAAGATTGTGCTGTTCGTAATTTTAAGACTACGTAGGGTAAACCTGTGATAGAACTTATCTTGATTCCAAGGCTCAAGCTTATAGGTGTCATATAATGATATCCTATATTAAAATTGGCTAACTTGGACTCAGGAAATGATTGATGCTTAAACAACACTTAAGACCATATATGTTCTGGGAGCAGAGAGCCCCCACCTGAGATGTCTCTACTCTAATATTTTTGTTCTTTCTTACCTGGGAACTTATTTGTTATGTGTACATGACGTTCATCCCTATGTCTTATCTGTACTCCCTTCCTATTACTGTTCAAAGAGTATTTGCACGTAAGCACTTACTTTTTAATGTATAAAACCCAGCTGATGAATAAAACGTAAGAGGCTTATTTTGAATACCAACAGGTGTCTGGTGTCTAATTCTCGCTTCTCCAAGTGCACTTGTAACAACAACTTGGGCTTCCTTTTGAATATAACAATGATCAACATTTTGATCCACAACAATTTGGTGCCGAAACCCGGGATCTGACGGTCGAGAGACTCGGACACTAGCGTACAGGTGGACGTCCCTCTGACAGTGAAATCAGCTGTACAGCAAGATAAGAAAAACTTTTTTTTCTACCTTTATCAATTTCGCTCTCAGATCTACGTCCTACTAGTCTGTCTGGGTAAAGAACGACTTAAAAACGTCTGATCTAAAGAACTTGTTTTCTGTGGTATTATGGTTATATTCAGGTGGAGGTTGTGTTATGTCTTGTGAAAGGAATCTTGAGATAGTGGAATATATCTGTGGGTTGTAAGTTATTTTTATCGTTTGCCTTGTCATTTGTTTTATAATTTGAGTTAGAATCCTCCAAGGGCAGATCTCCTGATCTGTGTTTAGAAGAAAAAACTGTGAAAATTCTACTGCAGCGGTCATAAGTGTTTTAAATACACTGTTTTGTACAGTTTGTCTTGAGTAAGGAAGTAATTAACCCTTACAAGTTTTAAGATGGGTAGTTCTGAAAGCACCCAAGGGGGATTTACGGCTTTGACTATTGTCAAGCATCACAAAGGACAAGGAGAAATTAAAAATGTTAAGAGGTTACTTAAGAAAGCTGGCATGCCCTCAGAAGGCACTCTAGACCCACATATATGGAGTGAATTTATGGCAAATTACAGAGGTTGGTAAGAAGATAATGACTTAGTAGAAGTCGCCCAAAAATGGCATGATACTGCTGTTGAATTAACTAAATGTGGTTGTAGAGAAACCACCAGGAAAGGTGTACCATATTATCAATGTTTTGAACCTCTAGGGTCCCAGAATAGGCAAGATCCTGGGAAAAATCTTGTAAACCCACCGCTTTACCAGGATACTGCAGGGACTCCTTTGATCCCTAAAGGTCAGGCGATTTCCCTTTTATGGAGATCAAAACCTCTCTTTCCAGTAATATTACGCAGTGGGACTTCATATGGTGTCCCAATAAGACCTATGGGTTCATTAGAGCAGGAAGGTAGTCCAGACTTAAAGGAACTCCTAGTTGCCCCCATAGACACCCCAGTGGGGCCATTAGCTCCACAATTTTACTCCCATGATACCCAAAGTTGAGAGCGTATACCATGAGAACAGACAGCCGAGCTCAGGTATCCAAAACTGGGAAGAATATAAGCCCTGGACACCCAGTGAACAACTGGCAATAATACAGCAGCTGGCAGATGTTGAAAAGGCCCCCTTAGCTCTAGTCCAGTCCAGTGGTGGATCCAGAGCCTGATCTCGGGAGGGGCACTTGTAGATTATTTAAAGAAATAATCCAGACACAATAACTACTACAGCTCAGTGTAGTGGTTATGGTGTCAATAGTGCTGGGACCCCCTCCTAGAGTAAGTAGTCAAACCGTTTAAGAACAGTTTGACAACTTACCTGAGGTCTGCTGGGAAATGGGGCGGTAGTAGGGCATAGGAGCAGTGGTGTGTGAGTGGTGCAATGTGTAAGGGGTGCAGTGTGTGTGTGTGTGTGAGGGGGACAGTGTGTGAGCAGTGTGTGTGTGTGAAGGTTGTAGTGTGTGAGTAGGGGGGGCAGTGTATGTCAGGGATGCAGTGTATGTGTGGGACAGTATGTGTGTGTAACAGTTGCAGTGTGTGTGTGAATGTGGGCAATGTGTGTGTATGGGGCGGCAGTGTATGGGGGCAGTGTGTGTGTATGGGGGCAGTGTGTGTGTATGGGGGGCAGTATGTGTGTATGAGGGCAGTATGTGTGTATGAGGGCAGTATGTGTGCATGGGGGGGCAGTATGTGTGCATGGGGGGGCAGTATGTGTGCATGGAGGGCAGTATGTGTGCATGTGGGGCAGTATGTGTGTATGGGGGGGCAGTATGTGTATGG